TTCACAAATAAACGCCACTCTAACAAGGTTGTGTGGCAAGTAATTATCTTCTACCGCCTGACGTTGATTGTGTTTGGAGAGCCAGTAGATAAGGACTTTGATAAGGGCATAATAAATGAGAAAATTTAGCTATGGGGACTTGACGGACATGGATAGTGTGTGTGGCTGTTTGCTGGATTGATTAACCCGTTACACCAAAGCACGCGGCTGGACGTTGCATGCGGAAACACACAGCCTGTAGGGAAATCAGAACTACCGTTTATCACCTTCTCTAGAGAAATATTTCCCGATGGGAATTCGTCAATTGTGGACTGTATTCAAACACACCACATGGTTCCGATGAGAAGGTGTTTTGAAGCCGCAACTAAAATGTACTCGTTTTGGCGAATCACCTTTCCTCCTCAGGCTGTAGCGTCCGCACAGGGATGAGCGGCTCCGCGTGACGCAAACCGGTCCGTGTGTTCAAATGGCATTTGCCATTTGCAAATGGAGCTTGCTATTTCGTTCCATCCCAATTCTAAGTGTGTAAATGCTGCGGTTATAGCCGGACATCTGTTGCAATCATCTCTCATGCATGTTATGGTCATCCGTCCACACACCTCAGGCTCCGTCCTCCATCGACAGTTGTGACTACACCGTGCAGCTAACCACGGATATAAATCAAACGCACTCTCCATCCACCTTCGACTCGTAGTAGGTGGCTTACATGAAACGGTCCGGCTGTTTCGCTTTTCAACCCCTGGGTCCTTGACGACCCAATGTACGCCCGAATACGGAAGCCCTGGGTACACTTGACATGACGCATATTACACTAGGCGAGCGATCTGTCGTAACTTAGTTCCAGCGTTACTCGCGGAAAAATGAGCGTTTACCTTAAGTCCTTAACTGCTGTCGGCTAGAATTTCGCATGGTTTACTGGCACATTCAACCAGGAGCTTTTCTTCAGGAACGCCGTGTAAGTCGTCGTTAAGCTGGTGAAGCAGCTGCGGTGTTAGCGGTGTGATTTTCAGTGCACTCGGTCTGAGTTTGGAAGAGCGATTATGGATGGTTGAGCTATGGGGTCGTTCCTGGATTCATAACACGTGGTCGTGCTTAATGACGGGGATATGCATTATGTAGACGAAGAGATGACTAATCCGCTTTGAATACATTTATTTGTTTCGTTTACAGAGGCGCAGTGTGGCTGCGCACGTGCGGTCCGCCCAGGGTGGCACTTGACACTCGGCCGCATTTTTATTACCGTCGGATGTTGGATACCTTTTATAAGCACGACCATGTGTTATCCTGATGACACGCGTGAGCCATTCTCTACTCAGCTATCCTCTGGTCTGTGCCGAGGAGCGACCGACTATTTCTGCTGGGTGATTTCAACGAGCGCGTTGGGCGTGATGCGTCGGTGTGCATAGATTTTATCGGTCCGCATGACATTGGTTCAGCGAATGCGAACGGTAACAGGCTGCTCGCACTGTGTGGCACTCACGGCCTGATAATCACGAACACTCGGTTTGCACTGAGTGCGACTGATATAGCAACTTGGACGCACCCATGTCCGAGATGACGCATCCAAAAACGCACACCTCTCTTTACAACGAGATAACACAGTAGCACGATCCCCTCACAATTTTCAAATGCTACGCGGACATGGATTCTGTGTAATGGAAGTTGTAACCATAGGAAGTCAGCCACTGTCCTATGCAGCGGTAGGAATTTACATACCAGAGGAGGATAGTTATCGCTATTTGCCAGTTAGCTTCCAAGTTAGTAGGCCTGCCTCCATCTCCCATGGCTCAGTGGATTGAGCTGATAGTTGGCGTAAGCTGCTGGCGGACATATTGTAGCGACAATGAAGTGCGATCATCATTGGCGCGATCACTAGCTATGTCACCACTCATACATGCGTACATTAATGTGTCATGTTTCCTTCTCCGTTGCACCATCTCTCATGGCTTCTGCTCGCGACATGTCCACACACTATTTGAGGTATGGGAAGAAATATTCTATGTGCATTTCGCCCCGGTAGCTCGGCTCCCACTCGTCCCATTCTGACCGATCCGGAGTGATTCGATAGTTCCTACTTCATTTGAACATGGATGTATTGCTCTGCTTGTGGTTGTTCCGGGAGGATGAAATAACGGCGGTTTTGTTCGATTTATTACGTTCTCGACAAATACTCTCCCCGTTGCGCCTTGCTCAGGCTCACTACGGGGCCGTTCGTGTCCCGTTTTCGTCACGTTCCATCATGCCAGTGTTGCTCCGTCTGCTCCCCTCATTGCGCCC